CAGTGATCCAGATGTGTCTTACTGTTGCTTCCAGGTGGTGGAGCAGGGCTGCAGTCTGCTGCGCAGGATGGAGATCTGTGTCGCTGAGGCTGAGAAGAGGAGCGGCAAAAATGCAGTGAACATGCAGGAGATGTTCACTGTGTACCTCATCGAGACAAGGTGAGAGCAGCATGATCTTCATGATGATTCTGGTCCGACACCACAGTGAGCACAGGAAACAACATGTTTGTCAGTACTGAGCGTGTTGTGTTATTTTTGTGTGGCAGTGTGATTTACTATACAACATATTTTAATAGAATCTGCACACTGTTGTTATTGTATGCATCAAAGGGATTTGGAGCTGCAGTGTTTCAGGCAATTTAGTAATTTAGTATTTGGTGGCATTTCTAATGCTTTAACACAAGGCTTTTCAACTTCAGTAACAAGGGCCGAATAGGAAAAATAACTGGAATATTTGTCAACTAATGGCTACAAACAACTGTTATGTTAGTAGATATATTACTACATGGGATGAACTAATCAAATTAAATTAAATTAAATTTTATTTGTATAGCCCAAATTCACAAAACACTTTTTGCCTCAGAGGGCTTTACAATCTGTACAGGGAGTGACACCCTCTGTCCTTAGGCCCTCGGTTCGAAACTTGCCCACAAAAAACCCTTTTAACAGGGAAAAGAAGGTGGAAGAAACCTCAGGGAGAGCCACAGAGGAGGGATCCCTCTCCCAGGACGGACAGACGTGCAATGGATGTCACGTGTACAGAACAAAGCAACAGAAACACATTGTACAATTACAATGAAAGACAATGATTACAGTAGCAGTGGTGGTAATATGTAACAATGCTACAATAATAAACAAGTTAATATTAATGTCATGGAATTATGAGTAATAGTAATAACAAGAGTGGATGTCAGGCAGGGCCATGGCAGTAGTGGGAACCACGATCCAATACAGGGAGCAGCCATGATCCATGAGAACCTGCTGGACACGAGAGCACAGCTCTCAACTAGTGACATGCATCCCTCTGTCACTGTTTTCAATTCAACAATCAATTCCAGCAGCAGTAGTTAGTCCATTCAGTGTTTTTCTGACATTTTCCTTGCACTTAAATAGCTTCTGTTTGCACTTAAATATGCTCTGCTTCCACTCAGACTGTGTGCTTACACTCAGATATATTGTTGCTTGCACTCTTGAATGAAGATAAGAAAAAACCTCCATAATTCAGGCTACTCACTGAACTCACTGAGCATTTTCAGGTCAAACAGTTAGATCTAAAACATGTCATTTCTAGGTCCATATCCATAAATGTAGAAAACAAGATGAATATAGTAAAAGAGTATCAAGCAGACTCATGAGCTGTTGATACTCGAAGGTTGTGATTGAATCAGCTCAGACAGGGTTTTCCATTCACATATACATTATATGGACTAACAAGTCAATGGGAGAATTCATCCCCCCTCGGAGTAAAAAATGTATCCTTACAAGCCCAACTTGGCTCTGGTAGATTCTAGTGCCACTATTCCTGATACACACTGATCTTAATTACTGCAAACTTTAATGCATATTTTTGTAGAAATTAGAAAACAGAACTTTTTAAAGGTCCTGTGTGTAAGATTTAGGGGAAATGGATCTATTGGCAGATATTTAATGTAGAATAATCCTCATGATGTTTTCGGTAGTTTGTTTCATCTAAATTGTATGAATTGTAGTTTTCTTTACCCCAGAAAAGGCTCTTTATATTTAATACTTTATATTTACATGGAGGGGGTCCTCTCTACGGAGGCCGCCATGTTTTTTACATTAGACCAGACTGGACAAGGCTACCACAGTTTACTTTTCATGTTTGGAAGGAGAGGGTGAGGTGAGGGGTGTTCAGCTGCAACATGCAACTTCAACACTAGATATCACTAAATTCTACACACTGTACCTTTAAATGATCATTCACTTTGTTTCACACAAAGGAGGAAAACTCCAAATATAAAACCAGGCATAACATGATAATATATGTTACTGCAAGAAGCTTCATTACATCATATTCACTTCATAAATATGTGATATGGAGAATTTGATATGACGACTTAATGAATATTTGTAGAGGAACTATATGAGACATGGTTTGTCTCAGACAAGAGATAGGTTTATAAGAGGTTAACCAGGTTCATGACAAACTAACACTCATCACTCAGAGTACAGACAAAATTATTGTCGTGCTTATTCAGGATAGGGGCAGACGTAGATAGGGCCGAGTTGCCTTGTATCCTGCGGGAGTATCCTGCGGGAGTATCCTTCCGGACTGTCCTCCTTCTTCACTCCCTCACTTTGCTCTTTAACAATAAACAGCAATCAGAGGTTTTTAGGACCCCTCTAGTACTTGAAATGATTACTTTATGTTTGTTTGATTTGCTTTAGAATTTATGAGGCACACATTTCCCATGAACACAAAAACAAAGGAAGTCAACATGTAGACATAACTAGAAATCCATGACTTGTCGTGTGATATTGTGTAAAATACTGTGATTTGTTGCAACCCTCAATCTTTTAAGGCCAATGGATGCAGTCGCTGAAGGTCGTAATCCAGCCCCCGACTCTCTGTGGAGGAGATACAGTGAATTTGAGCTGCTGCGGAGCTACTTAATCGTTACCTATCCATACATTGTGATACCTCCTCTGCCTGAGAAGAGGGTGAGTTCATTGTCCGTCCAAACCCTGTTCAGTGATTCAAGAAATGTCCAATATAAAGGCTCTACTTTACACTTCTTTTAGCTGTGTCGTAGGACACAGAGCAACAACACTAACACCTGTCTCGAGACGTGTTGTTAACATTGTCCTGAGCGATCCGATCAGCAATAAGTTCAAATGTGTCAGAGTTTTGCTGTGTGAATAAATGCAGGTTGGGTAGCGTTTCCATTTGAACCAATACCGTTACCCATCTGTACCTTTTTTTGGTACTTTACTCACAATGTATAGCAAAAGATAATATCTGTCCATGTTTTTTTTTTCTGCGTAGAGAATTGCGCGGCAGCTGCCTCTGTCAAATTTAGCCTCGCCACGAACTTTTTGTATAGTGGAAACTACCCATAGTGATCACGTATGTCCTGGGCCAAATTCAATGGTTGCTTACTTACTTAAGAAGTTTGTAGCTTCTGTATGATAGTCCCGGAACTTAAAGGAAAGCTAACGGCACCGCACACACACTGACCCCGCTGCTCACTTCTCTCTCTCACACACACAAACTGAGCTGATGTCTCTCATCCGCCAAAGTTTAAACGTCCATTTGTATGAAATGACGCCACAATATCAACACTGATCACCACATAACGACCGATACTTTTCTTCAATGAGTCAAATCTTCCTTTATAGCTGTGCATTCATTCATAATTCAGCTCATCTCTCGCGCTGACACACACACACAAACAGTGGGATCAGACATGTGTAAACTCTGATTGGGTAAAAACGACCGAATTCGTAAACTTAGTCAATGTATGGACGGGCGGAGGAGATGGCGGGGGCGCTTGGTTTTGCTCGATATATATACTTTGTTGTCTTGCATACAGGCAGAGTTTGTGTGGCACAAGCTGACTGCAGACAACATGGACCCAGACTTTGTGGAGCGCCGCAGGGTTGGGCTGGAGAACTTCCTACTTCGTGTGGCTTCTCATCAAGTCCTCTCCAATGACAAGATCCTTTACCACTTCCTCACCGAGGTAAATGGTGTAGCTCAGGGTTAAATTCAGAGGTTCACATGATTTCGTGTAGATCAGAAGCTGATCAATAACTGACTTTTTTCACAAATGTGTATGGCAGGAACATGGCTGGAAAGAAGTGGTGTATGAGACAGGCTTTCAGGCAAAGGTTCGGAACTTTTTCTGAATTCTGGTATTTCTTTGTGAAAGACTTTCAGTGTTCACAAAACTCGACATCTGACTCTTCTCATTCTTTTTGCAGGCTGATTCCCGGCTAAGAGCTCTCAGTGCCACCTTCCGGGTGAGAAATACAGATAAGTAAGTTAGTGTTTCCAAAACACACTGTAAAGCAGTTTTTACCCAGAATTGGGTCCGGACATTGTCTGGATTTTGCCGTTCACACATGCACAACACAACAGGAGATTCTCCACTCAGACAACAACCCAGAAATCTGTGTTCTGGTTGAGGGATGGTGCAGTTGGCTCTTCGTTGGTGTCGTCTATATGGAAAAACCTTTTCATCTGGAGATATTAATTTTAATTTAGTTTTCTTCACGTTTGTGTGTTAGAAAAATCGTCAACACACCCTCTGACTTGCGGAGGATCTCCTGCTGTGTTCTCACATGGGCACTTTAGACTTTCTGCTGACACAGAAATCCTTCAAGCTCTCACTTGGGTTAACACACTCAGCCGAAGTTACAATACTATTAATGTAAAAATGATAAATCACTAGATATTAAGAGTTGCATTTTATAGTTGGAGCTGTGTGTTGTCATAAGCTGATAACTGAGATAATATAAGGTGTACTCACGTTGTGAAAGGGGCTTCACTCAGTGTGTACCTCCATTTAAGACCCATTATTAATTAATCAATTATTTTCTCAGCTCTTTGATTTAAAATTTGATCAAAACATCACAATATCTATTGCAGAAAAAAACATCATAAAGTCTAGTTATCTATAGCAAATTATCACATTTGAGAAACTGGAACCATTTGTCTCAAAAGTGCATTTAATGATTAGACAGTCAACAAAATAATAAAACAACTAGGTAGAAAATGACTTGTGTATATTTTATCTGACGCAGGCGCTTCATGGATATGAAACACTACAGCGATGAGTTGCAGTCCCACACATCTCAGCTGCTCCGAGCAAGAGCAGTAAGTTTCTTTCGCTACCTACCTGTCTCTCTCTCTCTCTCTCTCTGTCTTTCTCTCTCTCTCTCTCTCTCACACACACACGCTGATTCCATGTTTGCATAAAATATAGAAATATCTGTAAATAGCTTTAGATCTCTAAAGATGCAACAACTGGATTTATCCGCCGCAGCAAGAAGATACACTGACTGCAGGACTATGTCCAGAAAGCTCTAAAGCCGCAGCACCACAGCTGCACAGAGAACAGTTCACCTGTTTATTGAAAGTTCAGCAATGCACGACTGAAGAATCAGTTCCCTGATCACCTGTTTATTCAAAGTTTATTAATGTAATGTATCAAGTGTCCAAATGCACCAAATGCGACGCTGCACTTCCTTGGACCCTACAGATGCCAACTGTGAGGATGTGAGATATGTGAGCAACATGTAGACAGGCAGATGGACAGATTGACATTTCTGGAATTATTAGATGAAATGATCCTCAACGATCTATGTTTTATCCCCCCATTCCATATTGTGAAAAAGACGTGTATTATATATATTTGGAGCAGGGGACATTAATATTACTGGTAAGGTATTAAGGCATAATAACTAGATCGTGCATTAAAATAAAAAAATAAATACTTCTGTCAGCTGCTGGGCTCCAGAGGCTCGGGAGCCAGGCTTTAAAATGATCGGCATGTTTTATTTGAATACTGACTTTCAGTTATTGTCTGTCTCTTGAAGAGAGTTGCTGATCGACTCTATGGTGTTTTCAAGGTCCATGGGAACTACGGCAGAGTCTTCAGGTGTGACGAGAAGCGTAAGAAAGTGTAAAAAAGCACCTGGGGCCTGCACTACGAAGCAGGATTTCTGGTCATTATGTTAACTTGCTTAGTCTACAGCAGTAGACACCAACATTTTAAAGCACAAGATCACTTTTTAATTCCAAATGTAAGCCGAGATCTACTACCCGATATCTTGCAAAAAAACCAACTCTGCAAATTCTGTTAAAGGCTAAGTGTCAAGCATAAATCTACACAAAGAAAGGCAGTTATGCTACTTTATCTATTCAATGCACAATATTCACATTCATATGAATTCATATCGACAGCATCTGTTCAATGCACATTTATTTAGCTTCAGTTCAACAATATGTTTTGCAGAGAAGCTGCAAAAACGATCCACACAACTTTTTTATCAGCATCACATTCATAATAGTTGTTCATCATCATCAGACAAAAAGATAAATACTCACTGAGTAGCTTAATAAAATGATTCTGCTAATTTATAGATTATCTTTAGCCCTATACATTTAAATTATACCTACTTTTTCCTTTTTCTAGTTATGTCATGGTCATTCAAGCTTCACTTTTTGATGTTTCTGTTAAGAGTACTGGCAGAAATCTGTGTTTCTTCTCATATCATATTAAGAACTTTATTCATGGTTGTGGCGATGTCGCTTGATGTCATTACTCCGCCTCTATCACGTGACCATACTGGTAGCTGGATAAGAAAACCCAGGGTATATAACACCATCAATAACTAGCTTCATAGGCTGCAGTTCATCAGGACGTGGGTAACATAGCGAATAACCAAAACCTTCCTGCTGAACTTGCTTCGTAGTACAAGCCCCTGAATATTTACTCGTGTGTGTTGTTTACATTGTCAAGTCAATAGTATTAATAAAGCTCATCCAGCATGTCCAGAACCTCTCAGTCCTTAAAGCCTCAATTCAGATGAGGAAACATTTTAAGAATAAAAAGAATCGTCTCATGTTAATGTTCTTGTTGTGTGTGTGTGTGTGTGCATCCATGTGTTCACTGCAGTGAGTGGAGCGCCATCGAGAAAGAGATGGGAGATGGACTGCAAAGTGCCGGTCATCATATGGATGCGTGAGTATTTCTCAGACAGTGATTGCTCATTATTCCTCCGTGTTGGTGAGAGCCAGGGCCGAGGTCACAATGTTTTCGGGTTGACCGTCTGTCCCACTCGTTTTCACTTGGACTCATAGATTAGCTTATTAGATTTCAGTGGTCTTGGGTCAAAGGTCACTGTAACCTTATATGAGTCTGGAAAGAAAAAGTATGTAGACTGAAATGGCACTGGCCAGCAGAGGCAAACAACTGTAGGGCGGTAACTCTAGTTTTCTCTCTTTCACACCCAAACAAACTGACAGTCATCCCCATCCCATCGTGGAAGAAAAGAATCAAATTCTGTCAAAAACACTTGTGTACTTGTGTACTGGTTATAAAGACAAGTCTCCTTTTGTCACACACTTGCAGATATGCTGCCTCAATAGATGATATCTTAGAGGAAGAGGAACATTATGCAGACCAACTGAAAGAATATCTCTTCTATGCTGAAGCTCTGAGGTAAGACATTTTCACCCAGTTGTTTTTTTATTGCTCATGAATAAGCCAATTACGAAACGAGATGGCGTAATGCAGTGGTCACCAACCTTTTAAAGCAGAAGATCACTTTTTAATTCTCGTAAGCCGAGATCTACCGCCATGATGTCTTGCAAAAAACCCACTTAGGAGGGTCATATTTATTATCTTAGTATGAGTTCATGCATCTTCAGCTCCTGCAAATATTTCACAATAAAAAACTTTTTAAACAAAAGAATGGAGTTGGTCAACACAAACGCTGCAGTGCTTTTCTTTTGTGTTTGTCACATAAATTCAACAGTGAAACACAAAGTTGATCTGTCTATGTCACAAACATATTTACAACACTCCTTGAACAACAGATCCACAGCTGATCTGCCGCGCAACCGCAGACTGTGAGTCCAGAGAGTTACAGAGATCGACCAGTAGATCACGATCGACGGGTTGGCGACCACTGGCGTAATGACATAGTAAACGTAGGGAGTTATATTTTAAAGATGTTTCTGTCAGGGGCTGTAGGTAGATATTAGCTTTTGGATGGATCTCAGTGGTGACTGAAACTTTACAGATAAAGATTTGGAGAGACTTGTGGGAGACTTGTGAATGAACAATTGATAAAGATCATTATTATTAATTTGCTGCATACCTTTAATGTTGTACAGCTGGCACATACCCCTGCAGGATTTCTCACTAGTACAAACTACTGTGAGCTAGAGGTTGTTTTCCTCATCTATGAGGAGCTGATTGACATGAGCTGTCGGTGACTCCAAAGACTGTTGTTTACAGATAGAAGTTTATGTCTTTTGTCAGAGGGTATGTGATATATGATAAGTGGATGAATAGATCCTCAGATGGTGAGCAAATGATTTATACCACTGCACTTCAAAGTGCCATACCTGAATAATGAAACTTGTATTTATGACCTTATTTTAGAGACAAATGTCTTAATGCATCACACTTGTTCTCACTGGCTCTGTTTGTTGTGATGTGTATGATATTATGCTGTACTCTTGGCAGGGCAGTGTGCAGGAAACACGAGTTGACCCAGTTTGAGCTGGAGATGTCCTCCCAGGACCTCATCTCGAAGAAGCAACAACGTGAGGAGCTGGCTACAGGGGTACACTATACTCATGTTCTCCTTCATTTTTAGGTCCCTATTTTGCTGATGCTGTAAGCCAGGGCTAAACTACACCGCTCAAAACAATTTGTCATAGTACATACGTTTCAGGGATAACAATCTGTCCATTAAGGAAGCACAAGTGATAATGAATCAGGTGCAACCCCCAAAAAGGGAATGGTTTTACATGTGCAGGCCACAGACAGCTGCTCTCTCTTTATCCTTCCTGACTAATTCTTCTTTAGTTTTACGTTCTGCTAGTGTCCTTGTCAGTACTGGCAGCATGAGGCGGTATCTGCAGCCCGATCAGGTTGCACAGGTAGTCCAGCTCCTCCAGGAAGGCACATTACAGATGATAGCTGGATCACACTGAGCACATGTGACAGGCGTGAAAGAGTCTGGAGATGCTGTGGTGAATGTTATGCTGCCTGTAACATCATCCAGCATGACCGGTTTGGTACCCTGACTGCTGTTAGGTACCAGGATGAAATCCTCAGAGCGATTGTCAGACCTGACGCTGGTGCAGTGGGCCCCGGGTTCTTCCTGGTGCAGGACAATGCCTGGCCTCACGTGGCCAAAGTGTGTAGGCAGTTCCTTGATGACAAAGGCATTGATGCCATTGACTGGTCCTCTCGTTCCCCTGACCTAAATCCAATTGAGCACTTATGGGACGTTATGTTGGTGCATCCGACTCTGCAAGTATCGCCACAAACTGTCCAGGAGCTCACTGATGCCCTGATCCAGGTCTGGGAGGAGATGGGTTAATGATTTTGGTTTCCATTGACTGTGGTTCCACAAATTATAGAACGTACATCAGTATAGATTTTCAACTTGAATAATTCATTCATCAAGATCTGATGTGTGATTTAAGTGTTCCCTTCATATTGAGCAGTGTAGTTTTAGATGGCCGCATTGTTTAAATAGCAAATGCGCTTGTGTCCCACATAGGCAAATGAACAACCACAACTTTTTTTAGCTATTAAACTAACAAAATTGGATTTGGACACAAACTGAAAACACTTTGTCCATGAGCGTTCGACCATGAGATGAAATTATTAAAGGTTTAAGATTGTTAAGTCTTAAAGAATCATGGTTGAGTTTGTAATAGATGTCAAACTTAGGAAAGACCTTTAATGAGGAAGCTACCTTCAACCCAACTTCTGTGTTTTTCGGTTCTTTCTCTTCACCTCATCAGGTAGTACGAACATTCTCCTTCAAAGGAATGACCAACAAGCTTTTTGGACAAGAGGCACCTGAGCAGAGGGAGGCCAGACTGAAGCTGCTAGAGGAGCTGATAGCAGAGGGTGAAGACACAGTCAAGGAGAAAACAATCGAGTGCGAGTGAGTGCTCGCAAACTGTGTGAAAGCAGCCCTAAAGTTTCTGTCGTTTATGCTCCGAGCTGAATTTAAGAGAATGTGTGTTAATGTGATGTATATCACTGCAGAGAGCATGTTGAAAAGGCGTGGGTGGACATGCAGCGTTTTGAAGAGCAGAAAGATAAAGATCTGAGGGAAGCGCTTATCAACTACGCTGTCATGCAAATCAGCATGTGCAAGAAGGTACACAACAGCACATCCGGGCAGCTCTAGGATACGGGAGAACTTTAGCAGCGATGGTCATGAACGTGTTTTTATTTCTTCTCTCCCTGCAGGGAATACAAGTGTGGAGCAATGCCAAAGAGTGTTTCCTCAAGATGTAAAGTCGAAGCCAGAGTCCAAGGTTTTCCTCCCTCAGTGATGGTTGCAAATAGTGTCTTCTGGTTGAGGTTTGCAAACAGTGTCACCAATAACACCAGAGACATACCATCTAATAAAATGTGTCTGAAGAATCTCAACTAACTGCAAAGATAATTTGCATGCAGGTATTTTGAAATCGTGAATGACTTGTGGATTCAAATGGCAAAGGGAAGTGATTGATCACACAGGCGCTTGACCAGTTTTACATGATAAAGTCAAGAACCAAGTTGTGGTAGTACTACATTAAATGATACAACAAGGGAGTCTTCTATAAAGAGTTTGTGGATATTGATTTTCTTTAGTCAATATAAACATTTATTAAGTTAAAACAGCCATATGCCCCCATAATAAACATTTATCTAAAACAGCTGTTTGCCAACACACATACACTGATAAGTGTGTGTATATATATATATTGTTTTTGTAAAGGAAAAAATAACTGTCTGAATTGGTGTGGGGCAGAGGCTCTCCAGCTGCATTGGTCTGGCCTATAAAAAGTGAGCAGACTGACCTGAAGTAAAGCCAACTATAGGTTATATATTTTTCTTTGGTCTAAACGTCAGGTGTGAAAGTGACCTGAGCCTCATGAACAGATCTATAAAAGTATCTTAAAGTGAGCTGTAGTGCTTAATAGCATCTGGTCATATTTTATGTGCAAGCCTTAAACTGGCTATCGTTATGAAAACATTAAGTCATAGTTCTAAAAACAACATAATGCAAGTGGCTTCAGGTGCTTACATCTCTGTTTCAAAGGTACAGTGTGGAGAATTTAGTGACATCTAGTGGTGAAGTTGCATTTTGCAGCTCACCTCACCCTGTGAGAACCTGTGGTAACCTTCAGTCCTCATAAAAACTCGAAAGGTTTTAGTTTGTCCATTTTGGACGACAGCAAAAAAATGGCCTCCACAGAGAGGACCCCCCCCCCCCATGTAAATATAAAGTATTTAGATATAACGGGCCTTTTCTGGGATAAAGAAAACAACAATTTATACAATTTAGATGAAACAGACTTGTGAAAACATCACACGGATTATTTTATATTCAGTTTCAGCCAATAGATCCCTTTCACCTAAATCTTACACACTGGACCTTTAAATGACTGAAAGAGCCTATTTGTTGATCATATGCAGTGATGTCCAAGGCTGTTGGATTGTACTGATGTACATTAAGCTGTGCATACTACTCATGATACTCATTCTGAGATGACATTGAACATTAATGAGTTTTTATTTATTTTATTTTCATTTATTGACTGAAACGCTTTGTTCTGTGTGTCTTACATATGTTATAGCATTATATATTTTATTTCCTGTTGCAAAAGCTTCCCACGAATAAACTCTAAGGGTATTTATTGTCATATTTACAACTTAATGCTAAATTTAGCATTTTTTCTATTTATTTGAATAAAAAGACTAAATTTTGTTATGGTTATGTTTTGGTAACCAGAAATTGTCTGATATCCTGTAGATGTAAACATAAAAATGTAATTTACCATTCACTTATTGTCAGAGTCTGAAAATGGTTTTCTTTTTTGGCATTGTGCAGCGCCAAGTTTGGAGCGATTTGGACATGCCATATGTTCAATATTAACAAAAAGTTGATAAACAAGCCACAAGCTCACTGTAGCAGTCAGTGTGTGGGTGAGTGGCAGAGGGACGTGGGGGCTGCGTGCTTTAACGGCCAATCCAGGGACCCTGTTGAATATTCTTCTATGTCTGAGAATAAACTACTGCAGCTGCAGCTGTCCAAATTACAGGTACTGACACATACAATCACTTCCTGTTTGGCAAATTGTCTTTGAAGTAAAAGCACAATGTTCGTTTTGTTGCTGCAATTTTTTATATTGAGCTAAATCACAGTGTACAGCTTACTTTGGAAAGTTGTGAACTGGGGTCTGAAGATTGTGTCAATTGCTTAATAGATCTCTGAACTAGCCAAGAATGAAATGTATGACAGAAGAACAGCTGTTCAGTAAATCATTCAAACTTAAATATGTGTCACGTTTTGTGGGGAGAGGGTAAGGGAGCAGGTGGAGCCAAAAAGGTAGAACAAAGAAAGAAAGTAGGGCTTTACAAAGCAAACAAACTAAATTCAAAATAACAGCAACTCGATCATGCTCTTAAGCAAAAACAGGGGAGACACAAGGAAACAATAGAGACTTACTGGCACGACGAGTGGTGGACCGACACATGGGAAGACACGGTGCGGCATCTCATAACAACGAACTGACAAAGACCCAGGGAAGCACAAAGACTTAAATACAGTGAACTAATGAGAAACTAGAGACAGGTGGCACAGGACAAACAGGTGAGCCTGACAAGGGCAGGAGGTCCAGGGGGAAAACACATAAGGAGCAGAGACTACAAAATAAAACAGGAAAGAGAGAGGAACACAGAGGGACACAGGAGAGAGACACAGAGTGGTACACAGAAAGGAAAAGAGTGGGACACAGGAGAGCAAAACTTAAAACAAGAATCCAAACGTAAGAAAAACACAAAATCCATACTTGAAATGAAACCCTCTTTTATTAAAGACCAAAAACACAGGAGACATGACAACATGAGCCACACAGGTGAACAATAATATTGAAATTCAGTTTCATTCTGCTCTACTCTGCACCATAGACTGATGATAAAAATCTCTACACACAACATCCAGCACACGAACAATAAAAAAGTGATTTTACACTGTTTGAGGAGGAATCATTTAGAAGTAGCTCCGGGGGGCATTAACACAGGTTGTTACATTTCCTCATTAAAATCCTGAAGAAACATATCTGGTTCCCCCACTAGCCCACCTCCTCTGTCTAGAAACAGAGAAGAGGGCGCCAGCTCAAATTTAGATAGGCGGTTGGAGCCTTGACCTATTGACCATACTTAGCTTTTCTCAGGGAACCTAAGCACATGGACCGCCAGATTATCCGGGCCTATGGATGGACAGACCCATCAATCAACTTCCCTCATAGAGAAAAACAACACCTGGCATTTCTGACACCACACTACCAACACCAGCACACTCGGTTTGTGCAGAGAAGATCACCATATCTACAACACACCAAGGTTATTATAGTTCTGACATTTTCATTAGTTTTTATTTTGATTTAGTTTTTCAGCTTGCTTTTTTATTTCAGTTTATAAAATGATTTTATAGTTTTAGTTTAGTTTTTATTTTGAGGAATCGACTAGTTTCAGTTCAGTTTTTATTTTGAGGAATCGACTAGTTACAGTTTAGTTTTTATTTATTTTTATTTTTCCAAGGTATTAAGAGAAAGCCTTGACTTGTAGAAGCTGAAAAAGGATGAAACAATGTGTGACACCAAATATGGTTTATCAAGTCCTTTAATTTCATTCTTTAACCATCACCTGCAGGACAGGCAGTAATCCAGGGAGAAAACAAAGCTGAATTTATCTGCAATTCAGTTTAGTTAGTTTTGCATTGTTTTTATTTAGTTTTCGTTTTTTTTGTAATTGTCGTTTTTTTATTTTTTTATTTCAGTTAACTAAATAATTTTTTCATTGCTAGTTTTAGTTTTAGTCTTAGTTTTCGTTAACTACAATAACCCCGCAACACACTCAGCTTGTAAGCTGCCACTTGGCCCACTGGGGTGTCTGTCTGCTTCTCTGCCGTCCTGACCACCATGGCCTAACTTGGTTATTGAGCCTGGCTGTGTACACTCACACACTGCCGCCGCTAGGCAGGGAAAAGGGTTGCACCTGAATGGACACTGGGACGAGAGAGCAGAGAATAGAGAGAAGACACAACAAGGCACTACACTCATTTCATCAAATTTGACAAAGCTCCTCCTGGACCAGACGAGACTTCATAAAACTGTTCCCACAGGATGAGCACTTAAACTGAAACAAAAGACAAAAGCTTAAAATATACTGAAGTGCTGGCTTGCATTAGAAAAGTTTTTTTTTTTCAGTAGTTTGTCCTTACGCTTGTTGAGGGTTAAGGGCAGAGGCTGTCACAGGTAATCTGAGACCATGCTTTATGCATGCAAAGCTCAATATTACCAATATTTTTAAAAAGCATAACGCAAAAAATTAATAAGAAAATGTATGTTGACGTGGAGATTCTCTGTGAGAGGATGTTAAATAAAGAACCTTAAGATAAAATTGTCTTTGTGAAATGACTCAAGCAGCAATTTAAGCAATGTGGTTCAGGAGTTAGGTAGAAGAGTTAGAAGAGTTTTTTTGTAGGGCGAAACAGAAACCAACTCTGAGGGTCGCAACTGTTTAAACATTCATTAAACACACGGTGAAGGAATACAATTCAGCACATTTTCATTAGCTCAATGCATAATTTTTGCTTGAATACATCACAAACATACTTAGATAACATTATGGAACATTGTCTTATTTATGATAGATTTATATTAATATTAATCTTGTCAGAATCCTGTCACTGACATTGTCATGCAATTCCAAGGGCGAGCGTCTGATTGGCATTTGTGCTGCACCTTTCTGTGATATTACCCCCGTGAAATCATGTGAGTTCAGTCATATGATGTCCATGCTAACCTAACCTACACTTTGTTAGAAAATAAAAGAAACAGACTGTCCCACATTAGCCAATGTACCAGATTACCCACATTCACCCTGTTTATTGTTACCTTACTTACAGTAAACGATGTGTTTTCAATTACAAGTTCATACTTAGAACATTGTATTCATAATATTGAAATATTATCTTGGAATTAAGTTAATTGAAAGTATTAGTAGTAGTACTGCACAGGGGTGGAGTTATTATCATTATAAAAGATTGTCAAAATCGTGTTTGATTATATTTATTTATTATATTTAACACTTTAACAGTAAGTGTTCTGTGAAAATCTTTCCAAACTTACTGCAAATAATAATGTCTTGAATTTATATAGTGCCTTTCAAGAGACCCAAGAGCACTTTACAGATGTCCACAAGGACACAAGAGATGCACTGCAAAGTATCTCTCGAGTGGTGAAATAAAAGTAAACATGAAACAATCAGAAATTGAGCCGTTGCAAGACTTTTATAACATTTATTAACATTTCTTAAAATAATACAATATTGCCCGCAGAATGTAACCACGGCTGAGTACAAAATCAAGTACAAAAACAATATTAAGTTAAAAGAGGGAAAAGAACAGGATCATATAGATATGTATCCATCTCACTTTTAAAATATCATGCAGTTCAAGTTCAAACTGTAATCAGGGCATAAACACAGTAAATGGAAAAACTTCATCGTGAGGTAGCTGGAAAAAATAACATTTCTTTCCAATTGAAAACACTACCACAATCAGCTGATATTTTACATACTAACATATGACACACTTTGTTTTAACATGCATGCACACTGTTAAAATACAGAATTACATACAGCAACAGTTATTAACAACTCCGTTGTAGTAATCAGCGCAACGTTCTCCTCGATGAAAGGCTCTTTGAGATCTTCACTACCTCTCGCTGGCGGAATCTGTTGAAAAAACGGCACAGAATAAGAACAAAAGACTGTACCTGCATCTCAAAATAACGTGATGTAAGATAATCATTATACATGGAGCAAATCATGTTAGGGAAAATGTTAAGGATCACCTTTCTTTGTTAGCCTTGCCACCTTTTTTCCACTCTCCAACCCTTTATAACCAACACCCACATTGGATCCTAGAGTAAGAAGAAAAGAAGAAAAGGTTTCACTTCAGACACATTAGAAATAACTTGCTGCGATTATGATGTGGAGCTATGGAAAACCATTGAAAAAATGTCAATATAACACACCTTGTTCCCTTTGAATCTCTCGATTTCTGGCCTTGGTCAAATGTTTAGCTTCAGACATGGTCCTCTTCATCAGGGGAGTCACAGACTCGTGGGAGTTGTGCCTCCGTCTGTGTTTGGGAGCCCTGGCAGAGTGACTAGGTCCTGGCCTTGCTTGTCTCCTTGACTCATAGTTAGTTCTTAAAATGTCCATCATTGTTGCAGATAGGCGCTCCTGGCTTGGTAACGAAAGTTCCTTTGAAACCCGTCTGGGTTTTATTCTGTTGGCTTGAACCTTATTCAAAGTGTTCTTTTCATAGTAGTGTTTCCTCTTACTGGTTGCTATAGGAGTGTTTGGCGCAAGGGTTTCATCTTTACCCTGCCTGTTGACACGTTCTTTTGGACATTTCAGGTCTTTATTGTGCACTGACTGAGGCATCACAGGACAAGTACCTGAGGTGGCTTCTGCTTTCTTGTCCACAGACTGAAGCCACTTCCTTTGTGACTCTATAGACAACTGTATGGTTTTTCGAGGCCTTGTCTTGCCAGTTCCACAGAGGCGGTTTACAATTTCCTTTGACTGTCTGTTTTGTTCTGGAAATGTAGCACGACTGTCTTTTGGAACTGCTGAGGGATTTCTGTCTGTTGCCTTTCTTTTGCTGATCCGATCGTCTTTTTTAGACACCTTGTCAGACTCATGAAAAACTCTTGAGGTTGCTTGTTTGTTACTCTTGTGTTGCAAACGCGCAGAGCCAACTTCAGCTTCAATCAACTGTCCACCATTTTCTGCACAGAGGGACAGGTCAGGGCAATCAGCAGATGACAATCTCATTTCTTGGAGCTTTTCTTTAGTAGGTCCATACTCCGTGTCCACAATGTCAGGTGAATGTGATGACGAAATGGCACTATTCATTGACCCTGAAGAGATGAATCTCCTGCTGTACTCCTCTTTGTGCTCTTGGTCACTGTCATCCTCTGTGTCAGAGTCGAGGATGATTACACTTTCGATATTTCTTCTGTTGGTCTCCTGTTGAACATGCTTATGGCCAGCTTTATTTTCAAGCTGCTGCCCACTTGTTGCTGTACTATGCGATAGCTCAGGACACTGTGGGACTGGCAAGTCTGCGTTTTCTTTCAAAGTTCCATACAGACTGTCCACAGTTTCAGATGGATGTCCAGTTTGCTGACCCCATGGGGCATCTCCATATTCCATAGAGTCTGAAGAGAGTAATCGCTTACGTTTAGCTTTCGTTCTGCAATTTTGGTCACTTTCATCCTCTGTGTCAGAATCCACAATTATTATTTCTTGGTTTTTTGAATACGTTTGTCTGATGGTTTCGGGTTGTACATTCTTTGATCTAGCTTTGGCATCAATCAACTTGTTAAGGTTTTCCATACAGCTCACCATGTTTAAGCGGCTGCTTCGAATTTTTTGCTCATTTGTAGTTTCATTTTGTTCAGTTTCTTTTTCAGGTGCATAATCGTCCGTCTCTGGTGGCAGAGGTGCTGAGTAATCACAACTGTCATCTGTTTCAGTGCTGTCTTCGGGCTCAGAGGGGAACTCGCTCCTGCTAGGTGTATATGCGTCTTCCTCGAGCACCATTTCATGTTCAGGTGTGCTTCTTCCTGATTCTGCAGCTTTAGCTTTTAGAAAGCTCTTAACTGTGTCAAATACCTCTATGTTGTAGGTAGCAGAAGCTGCAACTGGATTGGGTGCTGGACAGTATGTTGAAATCATGTCACCGTGCCCATCTTCGTCTCCACTGTTACTGTCATCTTGCACAACATACTCTGGGACGTCCTGGATTTCATTATCTGGTCCAAATATAATGTCTGTGATGCATATAGGCAAGACTATGAAGTCATCCATCTGATCGTCACTCTCCTCTCCATCTTTGAAATAATCATAAGAAGGACTACATGAAGCTGAGTGGTTTGTTTGCACTCCCAGTTGTCTGTCGCTGTCACATTTAGGACATAAATGTTCAAAACCATCATCAGTTTCAACAAAACATGGGCAAGAACAGAGTTGTGCTGTATCCAGTAAAATCAGCTTCTCATCTGAAATGCTTGCAGTCTTTACCTGAGCCTGATCCTGCACGTGTCCATGGCCTTCATTTTCAAATAGTGACTGCTTTTTGTTGTATTCTGGAAAAGATATCTCTCTCTCTGGATTTTCATCTTCACTTATATCTTCATACTGAGGATTTTCACCACATGGCAGGAAGCTACATTTCTCATGCTCTGTGTTTGGAAGTTTTGTCATCCCCTGTGACATTTCATTATCTGAAATGTCTTCATATTTTGGATCTTTCAAACCTTCCACAGCGTGTTCCAGACTCTTGCTTTCAGGGAGTAGGGGCAGTTCTTGGACGTCGGCAATTTTTTCAGTAACTTCAAGACTGCTTAAATCTGTTTGTGAATGCACAGAACCTGCATCGGCCATCACACATTGATGACTTGCTTGGTTCCACAGAAGTTCAGTTTGGTCCGTAGAAATTGATATAACACTATGAATCTGAATTTGATCAACTGATGAAGTACCCATGGAATGTGCAATTACTTCCTGATCTGTTGTATGACAATGTTGATCTTCAGAAGTTTTCCTTCTGTTGGGAAATGTGTCTTGATTTTCTTTGAGTGATTGGTTTCCAGTGATAATTGAACTTTGCCTTTCATTCACACCTTGCAAATTGTCCAAATCTACTGTCCAACCCACATTGTCAACTGGTTTTAGCCTTGTATCTCCATCCTCTTTCACTTCCATGTGTTTGGGAGACCACGAAACACCAGCCACCTTGTGCAATTCCTCTAAATTCCTGTTGATATTTAACCCCAGAGATGTGCATTCTTCTTGTGGCTTGTTCCAGGGTTCCTTCTCAGTCAGTTCATCAAAAGTCATTCCAGACCTTGATATGAGAACCACTGGACTCTTGTCCTCGTTCTTTTTGCGGGTGGCAGCAACTGTCCCCATAAGTTGCAGATATTCTGTGGATGTAAATAGAAGAACGTTATCTATATCGCCAATCTGATACTGTTGCAGTATGACTTTAGATCACATCAATAAAAACATCAAAGTTTGCTTATAATACCATCAAGACCTCCAGATAAAATTAAGTCTTTGGTTTTTGAGTTGCTGCCGAGAAGTCATTACTTGTCTAAAGTGCCATCACATCATTAATTCTCTACATTGTTGTTGAACAGCAGTTAGAGAACAGTCCGTGATCAGGCAATGCAAAATATCAATCACTGTTGATGGTCCCCAAGACCACCAGGATAGTGCTTTGGAATCATAATTAGGGCCCGAGCATAACTGTGCAAAGACCTTTTTGAAACTGCTCTGATTATAATTTTTTTCTTTCTGGGAACTGTTGCCTTATTGAGGCCCTAAACATGCTCAAAACCTCACACACGCATCAGGTCTGGTATTTTGTGGGTCTCCACATTGGCCGCGGCCAAATGGCTCTATAGCGCCACTTATAGAGTTTCAAAAGTCAAGACCCTCCTAGTTTCGCGCACGTGTAACTCATCAAGACAAACAACAAAGTAATTGGGTACAATGACTTTCACGTCTAATGAACTCCACCCAGGGAATTTGATCAGCCTAAACAGGACAAGTTACCAATGTAACTTTTGAAAGTCAACTTTAACGTTATAATCATTTAAAATGCTGTTATTTTTATATTTATAACATGATCTTTAGATATAATTGGAGATGACAAAGAGCTGTATAACTACATCAGAACACTTTCCCTGTGGCCCATATTAAAGGAGATATGCCCAGACAATCAGTCCCCCAAGTAGTGCAAATTCCGTTAGCCCATATCTCCCTTAATATGGATCTGAGACCTGACATTTCAGTCACATTGAACATTTGTGACCAAATCAAGTCAAATTTCATTCAAATCTGTGAAGGTGTAACCCAAAATTGTGACGATTAGTAACAGAGTGACCCAATAGTATAAATTACAAAAATCTACTGCCACTATTGTCAACACATTAATTATTACGAGAATGTTTTACATTTTTTACACAGAGATTTGTGTACCTGTTGAATGTTTCTTTGATGGAACTGTAGGACAATCACTTGTCTGAGTAAATTCAGTATTTAATTTGCTGCCCTTTGAACTGTCCACTGTAAGTGTTTTTTCAAGTGCAGAGACACATTGCACCTCTTCATATTGTTGTGTCCCTTTGTCAGAGGATGTGGGGAGGTTGTCAGTGCTCTGCGTTCTTCTGTACTGTTTAACCTCTTTCACAATAAAGTCGTGTATTTCAAAATCTGTAAGTGGTTTTATTTCTTCCACTGGTGATGGACAAGTTAACTGCTGCTGGTACCGGGTACTTCTTGAAAGTACTAGGTTTTGGTTTCCAATCTGTTCACAGCTGAGAGCATCCAGTGAGTGAATAGATTCCTCATCTTGTTCACCATTATACAGACATTGTCTCCCAGAGTTTTCATTAGCGCCGCTGTATTGTGCAGTGACATGCAGTGATGAAATATAGTCAGGATTAGCTTTTCTGCTTAGTTGGTGGCAACTATTCAGAGGAGTCCATACACTTTCTCCAGGTGGTTTTGGGTGCTGGAATCCAGAGCTTGCTAGCTTGTGGTGGAGACTTTGGAAATCTTGTCTTGATTTTGCACCATCTTGCTGCCCCTGAGCTGGACCATCAACGACTTTAAGCTCATCAGGATCTTGAGGGGCTACCATGTTGATTTGTATTCCATTTGCTGGGTGAACCACTGGTGCTGGTGTAACATTGTTACACCCGTGTTGGACAGCAGGGTATGCTCTTTCTTTACTGTGTGAACATCCAGACCATGTTGCACGGAGAGCCATCTTTCAATTGATGACTTCAGTTCAGGGTTTCTCAGGTCTAGGGGAGAAAAAAAAAGAAGGAAATTCAGAATCTGGATGAGTCCATGTTTAGAGGAACTTCCTGCTACGTGTTCAATACCAATGTATCTAATGGCACTGACAATACTGTTGTTCCATATCTGCTGGATGTGTACGCAACTGTTGCATAGCTCACCATATTAACTAAAAAGGCAACTACAGATCAATATTGTGTTGAAAAATGATTTAAAACATTGGTTTGATGGATTCTGTTCTTTTAACATAATCAATCTGACCCAGTTGTTTACACTCTGGTCTAAATAATGTGTGTATGTATTTAACTAATCTTTTACAAATTCAATATATTTCTGTCATATTCCTAATTGGAAATGAAACTGAAATTTTCACATCACAATTATTGTGTTTATAATTATGTGCTGAAAATGTTCAGAAAATACTGATAGAAACTGAAGTAGTTTTATTTTTACATAATATGACCATAACAAATGTGCAACAACCCTGGCAGCAAGGAAAGCTTATGGGTATGAGTTCAATGATTTACTGAACTGAAGACAAATTCAAACAATGATGTCACAGTTAGGCTGGAAAATCACCACAGGAAAAACTTTCACTGATTCACTTTCATCAAATTATGATCTGCTGTTAGAAACAAACAAAGCCATGATACTAGGATGCACATGTATCAAAAATCATCATTGTGATATCAACGTGCACAATAAATAGATGTACCGCAAGATGGCAAAAACTGCGATAAATGTGACATGCGCCACACATTCACACTCTGCATGTCAATATATTTGCCAATCAGGTGCTGCCCTAGATGATAAATTTAAGACATACAGATCATAGACAGTGAATTCACCCATCAGTGAATCATTGTTGGAAGAAGAGAATAAGAGAGAAAAGAGAATTAGAAAACAGAGATTTGACAGAGCCTGGCGACGCCGTCAAATCGCCTCCGACTAAATTGTACCGTGGAAACTTCTAGTGATCACGTTTGCTCAATGATCAGCTGCCTTATGATCAGAGCAGACGCTGCAGTTGTTTGTATTGAGCTGGAGTTTCTGACCTGCTCTCACTTTATGCTGAACATTTTTAAATCATCGTATCAGGCCATCATGTGAAATACCAGAAGCAAAAGAAAGTGTGTGTGCGTGTGCTCCCATACAGCACGTGCACGGCGTGTGTGCTGTCACTCGCTCAGAGCGAACACACACAGTGAGATCAGAGCTTGTTCATGTGAAGCCTGTAAGAGACTTTGTTGAAGAACAGTGGAAACAGTGAAAACACAGTTCCTCTGGTCACAGCTGCTCAGTGATCAGCTGCTTCATGATCAGCTGCTTCATGATCAGCGCAGAAGCTGCAGTTGTTTGTATCGAGCTGGAGTTTCTGACCTGAAGTAACTTAGTGTTTGTTTGATTCACTCCAGAGTTTATGAGGCTGCATTTCAACATCATGAAAAATGACTCAGGACTCAGTGTTAAAGTGAGCGGAGCGACACAGATTCATGTATTTACCCATTAAACAGATAACTTTAGCCATCATCGCAACAATTGCCCCCCCCCCCCCCCCCGCCCCCCCTTAGTCAATGTATGGAGCTGGAGAAGATGGCGTCACGCTTGGTTTGATCTGACGCATTGCACAGCTTGAATGATAGACACGAGAGGAGCAGCAAATTACTGACAGAGCTGCTTAAAACTGTAAAGAAATAACTCTTCACGTCTTGTTTTTCAGTCTCGACAGAAGTTGTGTGTCATTAATTCTTGATCAGTGGTCCACAATGGTAAGGGTTTACACTGCCTCTTAGAAATCAAAGCCTAGTTCACTCAAAATTTCCTCAAAGTTCACTGCAATAAAACAGAACTTCTCCTTGTCCGCACCAAGTCCACACTGGTCTATTGTAACAGTTATTCATTTACAGTTTAACACCACTCGGACTGCATATTTCCACTTAAGCAATACACACACACGCACAGCTATACTTGTCAACACACTTGTCAAACTCAAACTGCTCCAAAACACAGCTGCCCGATCATTACCAGAACCCCATCCATCGAACACGTCGCCCCTGTCCTCCAACAACTGCAACTTACTCCTCACTTTCAAGGCTCTCCACAACATGGTACCTCCTTACCTCTCTGACTGCCTCCACAACTACACACCCACCCGTACTCTCTGCTCTTCTTCCTCCATGCTCCTCACCACACCTCCTGCCTGGCTGTCTTCCATGGGGTCAAGAGCCTTCAGTCAGGCAGCCCCCCATCTCTGGAACACTCTCCCACAAACCATCAGTAAAAGTGACTCTATCCCCACCTTCAAATCCCATTTAAAAACTCACCTCTTTCAATTGGCATACCTTTTTAGTATTTACTACAGACTTCTTTTAGTCTGTTGTATATTGCTTGTATTCATGTTTGGTCTGTTTTTATTGTTGTGTATCTGTTTCATTTTTACTATTTGTACATTTAAGGTGTCCTTGAATGTCATTAGAGGCACCCATAAATAAAATTATTATTTTGAAACGGGCACAGGAAGTGTTGCAAACATTTATGTTATGCTTATGTAGCACTAGGGTTGTTCTAGTGCACATTTCTGATTTCTTTCATTCTTTAATTTTGTCTATTACTAAACTGGGGACCAAAATTTCAAGCCATGCTCTTGGTGACATAATCTAGCTGGTGTCTATTCACATACATGGGAGATGCAGATGAAACAGTTTCAAGTAGGTTAGTCGTAGATTATGACTAACCCCATGCCTAACCCTAACCCTACTTAACTACAACTTAATTATGACTCATAAGTTGTAGTTATCCATAACACATAAAAAAAGACCACTATAAAAGACAATAAACAACATTTATCAAAGGACAAAATGTAGCCTTTGTCTTATCTGATTATTAACCTACAGATTGATTTATCATCACGATATTTGTTAGAATTTAGGAGTTGATAGGGAGGAATGAAGGCTTATGGGGCTCTGAGAAAAAGAAAACCACACTGCTTGATGATTTAACAAGTTTCTACGAGTTTCTGTTTTTCACATGTTCAAATATCAGCACACATACAGCACACTTCCATGGCTCAGAAAAAACGAATAATAAAACAGAGCAACAGGCCAACTGTCTCTCCTCCCTTTGTGACATAGACAGATAATGTTTTAAAGTTCATCTGTTGAATTTATGTCAAACACTTTCTGTGGGCCTTTCAAAATAAAAGCACTCCAGCGTTTCTGTTGACCAAATCCATTATTTTGTTTAAAAAGGGTTTTATTGTGAAATATTTGCAGGAACCGAAGATGCATGGCTTCATACTGTAAAGTACTGGTAGTCATTTGAGTACAGAGGACAATAATTCATGCAAAGCCTATGGAAAAACATTGTGCTGCAGAGGCAGCTCCTCTGCAAAACATATTGTTGAACTGAAGCTAAATAGTGTGCAGTGAACAGATGCTGTAAATATGAATTGATAATAATGTGAATATTGTGCATTGAATAGATAAAGTAGCATAACTGCCTTTCTTTGTCTATATTTATGCTCTACACTGAGCCTTTAACATATATTTGCCAACATAATAAATATGACCCTCCTAAGTGGGTTTTTTGCAAGATATCGGGGTAGTAGATGTCAGCTTACGATTTGAATTAAAAAGTGATCTTGTACTTTAAAAGGTTGGCGACTACTGATCTAGACTGTGGTGGCCCACAATAGTCTACTTAGTCCCATTACTTTCAGAAGGACTTTTACACTTCTAGAATATAATTTAAGATATAGCTTTCTGTATTGTTGCTTCATTGTAGAGCTGTCCTGTGGTCTTACCCCGCTGTCACACACACTGTCTTTATCCTCATCCAGAGGCAGGCACTTTGCACAAAAGGTGATTTACAACTACAACATTATGTCACAAGCACAAAACATAAGTGACCCTGATTTGATCCCATACAATGCTTCCAACTTGCATAAACATTATGAATGCCACTTGAGTGTATCTGAGCAAACAAGGATAGCAAATCTATCTAACAATTCCACAAACCTTACAGACTTTCAGAGAAT